TTATATACCTCACCCCTCACAATAACTCTGATGAAGACTGACAATGTGGCACCTGCCACCAGACCCTTGCAGACTTAGGTTCATGCATGTTGGGGCCCTGTTTTATACCCGATGTGGCTTGAAATTAGGGTCCTTAAAAGTCAATTTGGGTCCAGACAATCAAGTCAACAAACATTTATTAAGTAATCTATTATTATGCAGTTTAGGGCAGGAGATCAAATGAAGGCAAAAATAGTCCTTACCCTCAAGGAGCTTACAATCTAATGGGGGAAACAGCATGCAAACAACTATGTATAAGATATCTATATGGCAATACATATTTATCCAGATGTAATATGTAAAATATAATGATAGATAGATAGACGGATGGATGGATCTACACTGGAAAGTGTGGGTTATCCCTCATGTGGTCCCTGTTACAGAGAGGGTGAAGAAATTTGAGTTTTAGAAAGGTGGTGACTTGCTCATGGTAACAAGAAAGTATCCAAGTGAGAATTCAGAATCAAGGTCTCCCCTTTCCTTAGGTCTAACACTCTTAACTACCCTAGATTTTTTCTCCTAAACTCCTGACTGAAGGGTTGTTTTCTGGCTTTGTAATAACCAGTACCTAGCACTTAATGTTTGTTGAGTTAAATGAAATCTGACTTCACCACTAATTTGCTGCACGTCCTTGGGCAAATCCCTTTCCTTCGATAGGCCTCAGTTTCCTCATGTATCATGTAAGGGATGTGGCCAGATGACCCTTCTGGCTCTAAAACTGGTGAACAATGGCAGTATCTCCACCCTAAAACAGTAGATCCCAATCCCACCATGTTATTCTGACTCTGACATCACTCAGAAGTTGCTAATTCATTCCTGTTCCTACACCACTCTAAGGATGGTCCTAGTTAGCAGTCAAGGAGACAGAGTTGTTGAGCTGTTGGGAGAGAAAGCACTGTTGCCAGTACCCCTCAAGAGAACAGCAGCCTGTTTCCCACTCTGAGCCTACCTTGGAGGCAGTAGATAAAAGCAAAGTGAGCCAAGGGCCTTGGGCCAGCGAAGAAGAAGCATAGCCATAGGATGATAAACAAGAGAGTCAGGGGAGACTTCTTTATGGCAGCTCAGGCATTCCTCAGCAGCTTGCTCCATATTATGTATCCCTGGGAGAGACGTGTAAGCAAGGATATGCTTAAGAGTTGACCAAGATCTTGGGCACAGAGCCGTCAAAAAAGGCTAGGTGATGATTCTGCATCAAGGATGGTGACATCCGCATTCTGGATGGCACGTTCGGGTACTTTCCCTATTCTTTTAGACAGGTCTATATCACAGGTCTTGGGATCCTGACAATACTAAAGACATGAAATCAAATGAACTGGTCAATAATCAAGAAGACAAAGATATTTTTAAATGGCCTACAAAACAGAACGACATTAAGCATTACTGAATACAAAACAGAACATTAAGGATGACATAAAAAAATCAATCAAGAAGGACTGGTTAGCAAGTTTAACAATACAACATTTATTATATCGCAACTATGTGCAATGATCTCCGCTAAATTTGGGGGACACAAAGACAGGCCACATAACTTCTACCCTCTAAACCAGAACTTGGTTTAATTGAGGAGGAAATGACAAATGAAGACTGAAAATGTTTCAACAGGTGAAGTCTGTTCTGAGTAGTGTGCTCAAAGACATGGAAGCAGAAAACAGCAAGACAAGATCAGGGAAAAGCTAACAGTCCAGTTTAGTTGGAAACATAATATAATTGAAATAGGTTAGATAAGAAATAAGGCTGGTGCACAGCCTTGAATGCCAGGATGAATTCCTAGTTTGCCCTTATGCCAGAGGCAGCCACTTGTTTTAGAGAAGGGGAAACAGCATAGTCATAATTGGGCGTGTGGAAGATGGAACTGTACAATGGAAAAACAAAGGAGGAGCTCAATTAGGCAGCTCTATTATTACAATATGGTTAAGAGATGAAGATCAAACCAGGCCATGGGGAAGAGAAAAGGAATAAGAATTTTACACACACCCACATACAATCCTTGGGAATGAAAAGAAATGGACGGAAGAGATTTGTTTCAACTTTATTATGAACCTGACAATAATCAACAAAAACAACCATTTCAATATACAAAGAACAGGAAAAGGATTGTGTATGAAACCGGGAACTTGCTTTATGTAGTTTGTTTTTAAGTGTACATTAAATTTAACGCAAAAGGAACAAAACTGCCTCGTTTGTCTGTGTTCTCTTCTGAGCTTCTACTCTCTTCTGTTTTGTAATGTTTCATTCATTGATGTTTTTTTAGATATGTTTTATAAGGCAAACTGACAGGACATTCCAGGCAAAACTAAGAGTATAAGACACAGACAGAGATGGGACGCTTGGGGGATGATAAGTAGTCCAATTTAGCTGGGAAGTAACATACCTGAGGGAGATTAGTGGGAGATAAGGCTGGAGAGATAGACTGGAGCAGATTATGGAGGAGGTAGTTGAAATATGAGTTTGGCCTTTATCCTTTGAGCAGCAATAAAAAGCCTCTGAGGAATTTGAACAGTGATATAGCGTCTGTGCCTTCGGAAGATTATTTAGATAACTAGTGAGGATGGATTGGACAGGAGAGACAGGAGGCAGGGAGACCAATTCAGAGGCTATCAGAGCTCACGAGAGATGGTTAAGGACCTACCTGACCCCTGAGGAACTGTAGTAATTTGGCCAGGAGAAGGGTAACGGGTGAACCAATGATCAACTTCAAATGTACAATGGGTTTTTAATAATTCCTACCAGCTCACCATTTGAAACATTTCCCCTGTCCCAATGTTTCTATTTCTATTGATGGTGCTAAGATCTTTCCAGTACCCAGGCTTAAAACTTCCATCATACTCATGTTATGATATGGCCACTGTGGGAATGTTTTGCCTAACTTGTGTATCTATGTATTGAGGGATTGACTGATTTTTTCCCCTTTGGCAGGGTAGATATTAAGAAAAAAAAAATCCTTCAGTCATTTTTTTTGGCCATTCCCTGCCTTCTACATTCAGTCATTCTATAGCCACAAAACCTCTGCTTGTTTTCTATTCTCTCATTCAGATCTTTCATAACATTTTACCTGAATTATCTGCCAATAACTTGTTTTAGCTTCACCTCTCACTACCTGTCTCCACGTATACTACATTTCAACTAGTTGTACTCCACTTACCGAACATGTGCCCCTGAGCTCTGCTCCTTCCACAGAACCTGGTCCAACTTTTGCATTTGGCAGATGAAGAAACTAAGGCCCAACAAAGCTAAGTAACTGAGGCAGCTTGGTACAGTGGAAAGAGCACTGGCAACGGACAGAACGGGGGTTCAAATCCCCTTTCTGACATTTACTAGCCGAGTGACCTGGGGCAAGTAACAGCCCCTGAGGCCATTCCGATGACTAGATGGCCTTCCAGCCCTAGAGCTATGATTCTCAAGTCATATTGCCCAAAGATGGTGGATGCAGATCTCATCGTCCTATACATATACTCCTAGCATCTTTACCCATCACAATCTGACACATTACCATTATCACCCTATTTATGATGGCATTCAGCATGACTTTACTCTTCCCCTCTGGTCCAGCCAAGCTGCATGACTCTTCTGCTTCTGAACTCTGGCTCTAACTTTATGTATTTTACCATGTCCTTTTACCTGTTTTAAATGTCATGATAAGGTAACTTAGCTCATGAAGTTTTTGTACCTGGAAAAGTATGAGAATAATTGTGTAATCTTCTATAAAAGCACAGGAAAGTAACCAGCCATTTTCCTTGATCATTTTTGTTCTGTCAGAGGTTGTGAATATCTAGATAAGGCGTCACAAAGACGTGCAAAAGTCTTATTTGTAACAAAAGAACAAAACAAAACAAAAAAGTCCACCAAAATATTCTTGTAAATTCAAGGGCAAATCCCAGGCATAAACTTAGCTACGAAGCGATGGCAGCATTTTTGAGTATTCTGTGTCGGCTAAAATGAATTGTGACCCTCAGGGAAACCACTTTCAAAAGATAAATGTCATTAGTGTGGATCCTCAATCAGACCTAAATATACAGACATGTATGTACTCCCTTAAGCGGTATGTAAGCTTCTTGAGGTCAGGAACTATTTCACATTTCATCTCTACATTTCTAATGTCGAGTAGTACTTGGTCCGTCATTTGCTGGAAATCAGAAGCCACACACACTTTAAGTCTGGTCCACAATGGTCTAAGGGGAGGGCCCAGCAACACCAACAATGTCTTTAAAAAATAGAAACCACAATGACAATTGCTCTCCAATTTTTGTTGGGATCTGCCCTTTTTTGTCATTTTACTAGTGTCATCCAACGGCTGGAATAAAAAACTTAATCAGAGTAATTAACTTCCCTTCAACTGGCTAATCTCACTGTCCCTAACTTTTCCAATTTGTCCTCAAAGATTCTTATTGCCCCGAATCTGCTCCAGTCGGCAACAATATTTCTAAGATGCGGCATTTAAATTAATGCAACACTTCAGATGTAGCTCTGACTAGGGGAGTCAAATCACACTTCTAAAATTTAAAAAAAAAATTTTTTTTTCAATAGCTGTACAAACCAGGAAACATTTACCACAAAACAACCAAAAGGTTTTTTACGGTAAAACCAGGGCAACTAAATCCTAGCAATGAAGTCTAGATAAGACTCACTAGGAATAAGAGATAATTGAAAAGAACTACATTATTTGTCACTATTGGTATTTTACTAAGATTCAAGTTTTTAACAATTTTCATTCATTCAAATATGTATATTGAGCACCTATAAATTTCAAGCTACCAACCTACGATAATTTATATTATCTGTATCCTCCCATCTATAGCATATAGCTTTTAAATAAGAAAAAAAAAAGGGGAAGGTATAAAGACATGCAGGACAGTTGTTTCTATTATTCTGAAAGAAAGCTATATGAATTCTGAAAACAAATGCACAAGGAGAAGCTAATCAAGAAGCAGAGGAATAAAGTTCACATCTATCTGACAACCTAATAAATCTGATACACCATATTCTTTTCCTTTTATTTTTTGCAAGAACATTCCATACAAAAGCAATTAAAACATTAACTGTGTTATGTTTACAATTGAATATTTGAACAGAAAATCTGTACAACGTTATCATTTACAATTTTACATGGCTTATTAATTGGTTGCATTTTTAAAATGTTTTAACCTACAAACTTTGCATTCCTTTAACTCTTCTTCAAATATCACAAGAAGAACTGTCTATCACTGACTATTTACAAGTACCAAAGTAAGGATGCAGCAATCTTCAAGCTCAGTATTCAAATAATTCACCATATCTATGGTGCCTTTCCAGTGCTCTGGATGAAATGAAAAGCTTAATACACTTGACACCTTGAAGAGATGCCAAGAATTTAGTCTGTAAGGAAAATAGAGTCACATTCAACTCAAAGTACACTGGCAAAACACAAAGAAAGGCTGGCCCCTTATAGTTCTATGACAAAACTAAAGAGACCAATGTGGCATTTTATACCTAGAAAAAAAACCACTTACGTCAGCCAAGTTCACTTGAAGAGAAACCTATGGAACAACTCAATTGTCTCAAGGTCACTTTTCTTGGGTTGTTACAATTTATAATTTAACACTTGCAAACCCATCCAATATACAAAAAATTACGTAAAAATAAGAAAATAAGGCAAGAATAGCAATACCATGAAATAATGAACTATAAACAGGAGGGAAACATCCAGTTATCAACGCACAACATAGTTTGGCCAACATCTCACCAGAATTATTTTCACCTAAACAATGTCATCTATTTCAGAACAGAATTCGTTTCCTCAAAATAGCCTCCAGGTGGCACCCTTAGCTCACAGATGGGAATTCTTTCAGTGGTTCAGTCAAACAAGCCTCCAAGTCAAATTCGTCTCCTGCTTGATAATCAACATGTCTAACTTTTGTGGGCGTGCCAGAATACATATCCTACAAAACAAAAATGTGAGTCACACAAAATTAAGAAGTGCAGGTAAGCAATTATTAATCCCGTTGGTAAAAAAAGTTTATTCTTTTTAAAAAAGGCTTCTTTAAGTGTTTCTAACTTTACTTTTCACTTTTCTGTCATCTTAATACGGGGAGGGATATTGATAGATAGATTCACATACCAATAAACCAATTAATTCAAATGCATAGGTAAAGAAAATCTCACTCAGCTAAGAAAAAATTTTTTCCTAACAAACATTTCCCCAAAACTACATGCAACTATGAACAAGACTAATATGTTGTTTCCCCTTCTCCCTGAACTTACTAATTAATCCCTTGTTAGTGGAGGGAGAAGAGTATTAGCATATTATACTGAGTTACATGTAGCACCACTTTGTGTGATCTATGATTTCCAGCTTGGCCAATACATACTTTAGCATACTGACAGAAGAAATCCCAATGTATTCTTAGTTTAGTTCAAGCACAAACTTCTGCTTAACATTATAACACCTAAATCACAGCAATATACATCTTCTCCAGGGTATTTTCATAATTCAAATATTTGGTTAATTTCCAAAGTAAGACTTTTGAATTGGGTACAAAAGTGCTTTTAAATGATACTTCTAAATCACAAACTATAAACACAAATTGAAACTATTGGTTTTACTTCATATATTGCAAATTGGCAAAGATGGGAAAACTGTAACAAGGGAACATGGAAAGAGATTAATAGGAAGAGCTCTAGGTTAGTCTAACTCATCCAGATATCAGTTTGGAATTAATTAGGCAAGTAAAGGAACTTCTCCGCTACATCTCAAAACTTCTTGACATCACTCCCTATTCTTTCCTCTTTGGTTCCAGTCTGATGAAATGGTGGCTCTTCTTGCCAAAGCCAATCCTTTTACCCCATCTCCTTCCTCATCCTCCTGCAGATTGTATTCCCCTCCTACTATTATTGTCCTGCCTCCTTCTAATCTTCCGGTATCTCTGCACTTGAAGTACAAGTACTCTCTTGGCTCCTTCCGTGATGCCTACACGTCCTGGCCTCCTCTTGCTTCCCTCATCCCCTGCAGTCTTACACCCCTCACTCTCTTCAAAGCCAAACTGCCAAAAGCTGCTTGCTAGCCGTTCTGCACTCCATTCTCTACTCTCACTCACCCCTCAGTCCCTTGCAGAAATGAACTTCCAACTTCACCATAAATGAATTTGATCTTTCCTAAGTTCACAATGATTTCAATTTGCCAAACCCAAATGGCCTTTCTCTCAGTCCTCCTCCTTCATGACCTTTGCAGCACACTGTTCACTGTTCGCCACGTTTCTCCTAGACATTCTCTTTCCTCTGCACTTTGCGGCAAGGCTCTTCTTCTTGGTTCCTCTCCTTTCTGGCTACCCCACCTCAGTCTCCCTTGCTGGACAATTATTCACATTCCTTCCCTACAAACCATGGATGCATACCAAGGCTCAGTACGGAGCTCTCTCCAGTTGGCCCTATACATTCTTGATGACTTAATCAGCCACTTTGGGGGAAGGGGGTTAAAAATCCATCATTCTATGCAGATGACTTCCAGATCAACATCTCCATATATCCAACTCCAATATATGCTAAACTCCTAGTCTACATCACCAGGGGCCACTCACTGGTCTTTTCCCACCAAATATCCCTCCTTCTCTCTCTCTTTTTGGATAATTCATAGCGTGTCATTATTATTTATTATTATTATTATTATTATTAATATTGTTATTTTTTGGCTAGGCAATGGTAAGTGACTTGCCCAGGGTCACACAGCTAGTAAGTGTTGCGTCTAAGGTCACATTTGAACTCAGGTCCACTTGAATCCAGGGCCGGTGCTCTATCCACTGTGCCAAAGCATATTTATAAAGTGCAAAAAAAAATTTTTTTAAATCAAAATACACTTCTCACTAAGATAAATAAAATCAAAGCAAATCTACCTACACAAAGTTAGAATCAACTGTGGTAGATTTCAGTGTAATACACAGTCTATAACCAGCATGTTTGCCCTTTCCCCCCATTGCTGCTCATCTTCTGGGCTAAGAATTCTTTAAATTTTTTTTAGTAAGATTTTATTACATTGACATGTTTCTCATTCCACATCATCTTCAGACAACCTCTGTACGCTCACAATTCTCTGGCTAATTGTTGGGCAGCTTAGTCAGAAGTATCTGGAACACTGGTGATGGAAGAGTTTGCTGTAAAACTTGCAACAACTGCTGTAGCTGCCCACAGCAAGTGGCCAACATCCTTTCCATATTCACTTTGGGCCAGTAATTCCTCACCAAGCTGTATTTCTTCAAGAAAGAACTTCTGCATCTTTAAGGTCAGGTAACTAGAGTTCAGCAAATTAAGTCAAAAAGGCTTTTAAACTGGGAAAGACCAGCTCTCTCTTTGGCAAACTTCCGTTTCTTTCTTTCATCTTCTCTAAAAATTGTCGCAGATGTGAAATAATGCAAAGTCAGAAGAAAATGCTTAGCATTTTGGATTAATCTGCAATTTTCTGTTGCATTCACTCATATCTTGGAAGCGTTTTCAGCAATGCTACCAAGAGGGTTTAAGAATGCTGTGGATGTGGGGCAGCTAGATGGCGCAGTAGATAGCGCGCCGGCCCTGGATTCAGGAGGACCTGAGCTCAAATCCAGCCTCAGACACATAACACTTACTAGCTGTGTGACCCTGGGAAAGTCACTTAACCCTACTGCCTAGCAAAAACAAAGCAAAAAAACCCAAGAATGCTGTGGATATCTTTTAAGTATCTCAAACAAAATTAATTTTATTTCCTCCCAAAACTATCCTCTCCCTTTTTACCTTGCTTATTTATGGTGAAGATACATACCACCAACCTTCCAGCTACCTGGATTCAAAACCACAGAGTCACACGGCTGCCATTCTAGTTCTACACCTCATCACCTCATGCATGGGGCTATAGTAATGGTGTCCTAATTTCTCTCTTCCTCCCCTGACCTTTTAGGAATCCTACCTTCTTTCAAAACTCAAAAGTCACTACCTGCTGCTTCCCTGTAAAAGTTACAAAATATATACAATCACAAGGTATTGCTTTCTCCATTACATCAGTTCCCTAATGGGCATGGACTACATTTTTGCCTTTTCATACCCAGTGCTTGGCCAAGGGTGTGTATCAGCTCAAAAAGGGTCCAATCCACCAGTAATCATATGTAAACATAATGGATTATTACTGAACAATTCAAAACAGCGAGTTCCTGAAAAACATGGGAAGGTTTGTATGAACAGAATCTAAATAAGCAAAACCAAAATATATACCACTACAACAACATAAATGAAAACATCTACAAGGAATCTAAAGCTGACTAAACAGAAAATCGAGCTGTGGTCCTGGAGGACAGAGCAATGAAATATGACTCCTCACATCTTGGCAGAGGGGCTGGTCACCCCTCTGGCCAAATGTCATACACACTGTCAGCAGTGGCTACTATTAGGTGTTCTTCTTTGTCATAAGAGTGGGATCAATTCTGGGGCGAGGGACTCAGACTGAGAAGTATTTCCCAAAACGAGTAATGTAAAAACAAAAAAGCATCAATAAAAGTCTTCCCACCACCCCTCATATTACTGAGTACTTCAAAGATCTGGAATTTACTGTTACGTAATTACTTCCTCCCCTGATACTTAACCCTAGCCTGCTTAAAATTGCCTTAGAGACTCGTCATAGCTAAAGTATTCATCACCCTACCCTGCAAGCAATCCAATGTTGTCAACCTCTCCCTACGTGGCTATTTCTCCAAAGATTGGACAATTCACGTGGTCCAAACAGGAAGCCTTTCCAAGACGGCACAACCTTCCACTACGGAACATCTTTCTAAAGGGCTAGAGAAGTCACAGTGTGGCCCTTCTATTCAGTCCTATTGCTAATGTAGCTCTAAGATCCCTGTAAGGAACCTTATGGAAAGCTAGCAATGGCACAGTAAGAGCTGCCAAGATGTACAGTTCACTTAGGAAGCAAGGAGCTAAAAAAAGGACAAACCAGGACTCCCTGGAAACTAGCAGCCTCACAGTAACCCAGAGGGGAAAAGAAGAGGCTGAAGTGCCAGTCTCAGCCCTAAGGAGACCATGCTCCATATATGGAAGGACAACCAGGGAGAGAAGGTGGAGACTAGAGATGTAGTGCCAAATGAGAGGAACAGCAAGCCAGGGACAGCACTTACATTAATGCAGTTTGAAAGTGGAGATTGTCGAAGGCTTTAAAAGCCACTTAACAGTGATTCCAGTGACATTGGAGGAAACAAATGTAAGTGCTCATTTCAGTATACATTTTAATTACCACCGGTCAAACACAAAAATAGAAGGTTCATTTTAGGGAATCCCAAGAGACTCAATTATAGTCTCTTTTTCTCAGGGAATGTCACCTATTTCTAACAAACCCTCTTTTCCCCTTGTAACATAGAAAAAAACATCAGCAAAGCCAACTTTGTACTTAATGGTGTACGCAACATTCCATGCCCACGTGCCCACCCAAATCTCAAGAAGAGATTTTGATGAAATGATGTATTTCATCATCTGTTCTTCTGGGCCAAGACTGATTGCTATAATTAATCAGAGTTCAGTTGCTTTTCAGAGCCATGCTGACATTGTACTCATTATGTATCTGATTTTGGTTCTGCTTAGTTTCCACTGCATCTCTTCCCATGCCTTATATCCTCCTATTTGTCATTAACAATACAATATTTCATTATATACCTTCCCAATCATTTACTAATTAGTGGGTATTAGTACCTACATTGTACCTGGTTTTGTTCCTCCTAAAAGTGTTATGAATATTTTGGTGGAAGAAAATTTGACTTTGAATGCCTTGGGATATCTCCAGTCAACAGTTATTATACTCTGGTGACCTTCTTCAGAGAATTCCAAAATTTTTCAAAATAGTTGAACCAATTCACAGCTTGCCTATATTCCCACAGTCCTTCCAACATTGACTGTTTCTTAATGTTTGCAATCTTTGCAAATTTCATTGATTTGTAAAGTGAAACTAATTTGTGGTTCTAGTTTCTCATAAAACTGTTCATAATTCTATAACTGCTGAACAGTTATTCTTTTGTAAACTGTTTATATCAGACTTTAACCAGCAGCTGGGGATAAAGTGGACTGAATTCCATGTTTGGAAGAGCTTTTGTAGACCTTGTTCTACAAAGTTCTCCCAAGTACTTCATGCTCTTGGGTTTATCACACACTGGAATAGCGTGTCCAACTGCTTGGGCTTCATTATGTTGTTGACACATTCTCTTCAAAATTTAATATTTATTTTTTCCTCAATTACATGTGAAAACAATTTTAACATTCTTTTTTAAAATTCTGAGTTCCAAATCCTCTCCCCGCTCCACCCCATATTGAGAATTTGACATAGGTTGTACATGTGTGGACTTTATTATTTTGAAAAAAGTAACCCCTTATGTATAGCTTATATCAGATTACATGTTCTCTTGAGGAGAGAGGAGGGGAAAAATTTTTGAACTCAAAGTCCTATAAAAGTGAATGCTGAAAACTAAAAATAAATGAATAGGGGAATATTTAGTCCAACAGGATATCTTTGGTAAGAAAAATGAGTCTAAGCAAGTTCAGAGATTTGCAAGGTCACAATGGTGGTAAAATGGGACTTAAACCAGGTTCCAACTACAGAGACGGTTAGTGTTCTCTTCATTGTCTACACTGTCTCCTCCAACCATAAACCAGTCAGTAGAAATAGCCTTTCTTGTACTAGCGAAGGCCACACACAAACAATAATATTGCCAGGATTTCTGGCAGAACCATGTTTAATAGTGCTGGGGAAAGAGGACATTCTGTTTCATCCAATACATCTGCTAGACAAAGTTTCCCATGTTACTCCCCTGTAAACAATGCTGGCTGTTGGTTTTAGATATAGACTTATCTCATCAAAGGGCCCTTTCATTCCCATGATTTTTAGAACTCATGACAAAAATGTTTTCGCCTAGCATCAATTCAATATAATCAAAGTGAACAATTCCCTAAACTTTAGGCATGTGGACCATATCTGCTTCATCAAGTTGTTTGTAGAGTGCCTTTGTTCTCTATTATTGAAAATGATTTTGTAGCACAAGTATTAACTATTCTTGAAACATTTGCCGGAGATTCACTTACAAATCTGCCTAGACTACTGTATCTCTTATTTATGACTTGATCAATTTCTTTGTTTTTAGGGTAAGATTTCTATTTATTTTGTTAATTTAGCTTATTTCATATTAATTATCTACTTAAATTCAGTTTGATGGCACACAATCATATACAGTCATTTCTGACAGTTCCTTTTATTTCCTGCTGTGAATTCCTCTTATTTTGTTTCATTTTGGTAATTTTATTTTCTTTTTATACTATTAACTAATGATTTATCATTTAATCTTCAAAAATCCAGTTCTTAATTTTATCATTTCCAGCCTTCATTTTTGATTTTACCTATTTCTAATTCAACACTTTCTCACCATTCTTTTACAGATGTGGGAGAGGGTCCACAGATGTGGAACGTTAATATACTGTCAGATTTTTTTCACTATATCGATCATTTGTGCCTGTTTTTTCTTCCTCTTTTAAAATTTTAAATTTTTGTTATAAGTGATGACTCGGGAGGGGGGAGATTGGAGGGATACAGAGTGAAACTTAAACAATAAAAGAAGCAAAATATATCAACAATATGTATTTTTAAAATGTGGTTTTTCGCTTACTCATTTGAAAATTATTTATTGTTCATTCAGATCTGCTGTTGTTCAGTTGTTTCAGTAGTATCTGACTCTTTGTGACTCCATTTGGGATTTTCTTGGCAAAGATATTGATTTGCCATTTCCCTCTCCAGTTCATTTTATAGATAAGGAAACTGAGGCAAACAGGGTTATGTGTTTTGCCCAGGGTCACACAGTTAGTGTCTTACGCCGGATTTGAACTCAGTTAAGATGAGTTTTCCTGACTCCAGGGCCAGCACTCTATCCACTGTGTCACCTGTACCATGATCTGTATCATGTATTAATTCCCTTTTATTAATTACTATTTTAGCTAAGTTATGTTCTGAAAAGGATGTTTAATATCAACATTCTCATTCAAATGATGCCTTAATCTTTCAAATCAGTTTTTTCCAATAGCCAACTGTTTTCCTTTATCATTCCCAAGCTCATCCTGAAAACTTTGAAAGTAACATTAAAGTCTCTTACAATTCTTGTCCTGCTATTATCTTTTTACAACTAGGCTAGTTTTTCCTCTATGATCTTACATATTATGCATGTGTTGCATATACTTAATATCATTATCCCTTCATGGTCTACAATGACAGCACAATAGTTTATTTTTCTCAACACTGAATTTGTTTCTTTGAGATAATAATTTCAACTCATGCTTTAAAAAAATACCTTTATGCAGAGTAAGTTTTGTTCTAGCTCATTTTCATTTGTAATTATTTCAAAGAATGTTTCTTGTATACATAAATTGTTGGGGTTTGATTACTTATTCACAAGTAAGGTGTTGTTATGCTTTTATTTTCCTCTATTTAATTCTTTTTCCTTCTTCCAGCACTTTGTCCCTAAGTTTTGCTTACACTAACTTAAGCCTAGTCTTTCAACTGTTCTTCCAGGCCTCAGTCCCCATTTTCTGGCCCTAACCTTCTTTCAGTTTACTTAAATTATCCTTTCATTATTTTTACTGTTTCCAATCACAAAGAATTCCTGCACCTTACAAACTTCTGGATGAGTCCACTGAATCAAAGCTGAATTTTGCATTCGTAATATAGACTCAGTATTCAGGTTACCTAGTTTAAAACCCTTTATTTTTCAGATGGGAAAACAAGAGACCCAGAAGTTATAAGACTTCGAGAAGTCATTTAGAACAGCCAGCAACCGAACTAAGATTAGAACCAACATCCTCTTTTCATTGTACCACCTATTCTGTGGTAATACTATCACAGAATGTAACTTGGAGAAGTAGTAAAAAGTAGTTACGAAACACTTAAAAGTATAACTAGTCTGGCTGACATGAGGGTTACTTAAATATTCACTGCATTATTTTCCTTTATAATGTCTCTATAATATACATGCCAAAATTATGCTCAGTACACAAGAGATTTAATACACCCAATCCCAGGACTAAGCCTCAGGTTTTACCAATGGATATACTGGAGTCCTTATTCTCTAGTGTCATGCTCAAACCAAGCACATTTTACATTACTGCTTAAAATGAGCCAAACTGCATGAGAGCTAAGTAGAAGGTACAAAAGAAAAACAAAACCCCAGTACTCACATAGTTATCCTGAGAGCTTGTTTGTGATTCAGAACTACTTTCAGCAGATTCAGTCTCCATTTCACCAATGTCTACTGGGGTGCTGTTAAAGCAACATGCAAATGACATCAATGACTTGCTTAACATAATGCTGAAAGAACTCTGATGCTGGGAAGGTCTCTTGCTGTTGAGTGTCTCCAGTGAAAGCCATATATCTCTGTAGATTTCCCCAGCCTAGTATTCTTCTAAAGGATTTTGAAAAAGTTGCACGTCCTAAATTTCCTCATTTGCAAAATGAAGATAATGCTTGTACTACCTAACTTGCAGAGTTGATGCAAGTAAATTACTTCATAAATTTCAAGTACAATGTAAATGCGTTGGGGTAGCAGTAGTAAACAAAAGTTTAAAAAGTTTTAAAGGCAGTCCAATGTTATTTTTATGCCAGTATTTATCTAGAAGACTGTCACTTTCTCACTGGCTGATTAAGTTATAAAATAACAGAATTATTGTATATCATTTAAAAACCTGGAATGGTTGTTTTCTAAGTGCTTGAAATGAATTTTATTACATTTAACTCAATACCATTTTAATATAGGGAAGCTTTCATAAATAACATGCATTATACTGAACAATAAAACGGTCTTTTAATGTTGGGTGACATTCTCACTTTGAGAAACATGTTTTAAGGGAAGCACATGGGACATGGGGATGCAAGCTTTAGATTTTAATGCAAGCATAACGTATTCTGCTCAGGTAAAATCCTTCCTGGTTGCCGAAGAGGAGGTGAGAGGAGAGAAAATACAACCCATAACTTGGGTAACTTCACTAACAAATTCTCTGATTTCACCAACGTCCTGCCTACTTGTTAGAGATAACTTTTATATACAACAGAGCTTAATTAAGAGTTTGTTGTTACTCTAGACTGCTCCCAGGTAGGAGACAACCTGCTACATGCCCTATATATCACGGCAATAAGTATTTATTGAATTGTTCTTATGGGAAGATCTGAAGAGCACCATTTTACGGGTCACAGAACTATACATACAATTTATGTATGTATAGAGAAAAAAGAAGTCCTAACTTATACATACATTTCTTGTAAGTTACAGCCTTCCTCAGCTGGAGGATCCCAAAAATGTAAAGCAACCTTCCACAGTTTGATCTGCTGGTCCCATGATCGCCTACTGTACTTCTTAAACTTGTTTGGAGTCTTGGGATGAATTCCAGGTTGTCTAAGATGCCTGTATTATTCGGAAGAGTATATCCATTAGTCTAAAGAATTATACCTCCTATGTTTCTATATGATTCTCACTAATTATGAAATCTAAGATTTTAATGAGACTGGGTTTTCAAACTGAGATTTTGCTTAATTTATTAAAAAACTCATCACAAAATGTTAATATTTAAAATTAAGCTGGACATTTTTTTTTGATTAGGCAATTGGGGTTAAGTGACTTGCCCAGAGTCACACAGCTAGTAAGTGTTATGTGTCTGAGGCTGGATTTGAACTCAGGTCCTCCTGAATCCACGGCTGGTGCTCTATCCACTGTCCCACCTAGCTGCCCCCAAGCTGGACGTTTCTTTGGATTATATTAGGTATCTAAATTCTTGGGACATCTATTAAAAACAGCAAGGCCTAATATATCAAGTTATATGACATTCCTATTAGTGAAAAACAAAATTATATTTTTGTAACACTGAAGCCAGCAGGTTCAACATGGGCCAATATACCTATAAAAACCACAACAGACCAAACAAAGGTCCTTTGTTTGGGTGAAAACTAGCCACTGGCCTCGATACAATTTACTGGTACCCTGCACTCCCACTCCTTGTCCTCCCAAGGTCATGACTGATTTGGTCACCTTCAGATTCTATTTTTTTTCCCATGCCAGCCTCATACAGAATTTTATTGTTTTTAGTTCATATATTTTTAGTTTTCAACATTCACTTCTATAACATTTTGTGTTTTAAATTTTCTCCCCCTCCCATTTCTTCCCCGACCCTGAGAGGGCATACAATCCGATATAGGCTCTATATATACATTCACATTAAGCATATTTTCCCATTAGTCATGATGTAAAGAACAATTAGAACTAATGGGAGAAGCCACAAGAATGAAGCAATAAAACAAAACAACAAAGGAAAAGGAGAGCAAACAGTATGCTTCCCTCTGCATTCACACACTATATTTGTTTCCCTGAGTGTCGACTCATACAGAATTTTAAAATGTATTATCTATCGTGTGTAAACACACATAAACGCACACAGAGTTATCTATTATATATTGGAATATAATATTATCTTACTACATTTTTATTTATTTTGCTTAGTATCCCCCAACTGTTTCAATCTGGTTAGGCAGATTCTATTTTTATTTTTCTACTTCAAGCTTTTACTACAGCTTTCTTCATTTACCCTCCTACTTTCTTTCATCCTAGTTCCATGAATAGGCCAAGATAAATTAAAAGTCGTAGCTTTCACTTCTCATCTTGACTCTAGATTCTCCTTCCCAACATCTCCCCAGGAATTCAGCCATTACTGCAATCAATACCAGACTATTTGCCAGAAACCTCCCAAGTGATCTTCTGCTGATCTGTGGTCATCAAAGGGCCACCCCATGCCACATGTGCAATACTTCTTTTCTCTATTATTATGAAGATTCCTATAACAATCTCTAAATCACCATGTACTTACTCATGGCAATAAAATGAACAAGCCATTCTTGGCTAATAGTTCTTTGAAGGCTTAATATGTTCTTAAAACATAAGCTTTATTTTTTTCTGTTTAATTTAATTAAAAGAAATGTTTAATTGATGAGATAGGGGATGTATATTCAGAAATAAGTGGTATAAATGATTTTTTTTTAACAAAAAGTTACCTATAATGACTTTTCACTTAAAAGCCTGTCATTCACACAAATGAAAATCTACCTCGGCACTTCTTTAATATATCGATCATAGGCAATGGTATTCTTTCCATAATTTATCTGTTTTTGTCTCCTCATCAGAACATTTTCATCCGTTTCTAGTTCTGCTGGTGCTGCAGATGTTGATTCTTTTGAATCAGAACTAAACAAAATAAAAAGATTATGATATTTTCAGAGATGCCAAAGGGTATATTAAAAAGGCTATTTAATAGATAATTAATATTAACATTTTCATAATTTTACTGAACATTCAAAATGGCAATCAAATAGCCATAGAAAAGCTAAATAACCTTGCTTTGAAAATATTTATATTTAAATAACTGAATTGTAACATATAAAATTTCAGCTTATCAAGTCATTCCCATTAGTTATCCATCAACTGTCTCAAGTTTGTTCCGTTCATTCCCATGACTTTTCCATAATATAGTTTGTGGTTATGAGGTACTTTCTTGGGTAAGCTTTTCCTCTGCAAAATTTCATAAGTCACCCTAGATTTCTTTACAGTATTCATACTTGTTGGTTTTTCATAAGTATCTTTAACAGACATACAAAATTAAAAGTATTAAATGTTACTCACCTTCCAGAAGATGACTTTCTTTCTCTTCCAAATTCATTTATGAGAAGTTTTCTTTTGTATCTGTAACAGAAATTCATATTATGCTTACTATTCACATGATATTAAATCACTCTTTATGAATCTAATTTCATTCCTGGAGTTACAAGAGACTTTACAGATAAGGCCCAAAGAGGTTTAATAGCTCAAGTTGCAGAACTGAACTAGGTTAGAAATCTAGTTTTCCTGACTTCTAGGCAAGACCACTTTCCTTTATAATAAAAATGCAGGGTGTAATCTAACAAGCTCAACAAAATATTTTATTTATGCTGCATCTGTCCAACATGGTGAGCTCTTAACACATAAACAAATGCTTATTAATAACCATAAACTAGTTCTTATGAAGAGACTTTACTTACACTCCCATCAATTTAGAAAGCAAAATTCTATGGCAAATTTAAGTGCTACCAAAATTTCAAAGTCTAAGGAGTCCAAAATAGTACCTAGAATAATGTTTAAACAAAAGACTCTGGCAAATCCAAATGCTTCTCTAAACAACTTCAACAAATTCAAGGCTTAAAACTTTTTTTGGATAATCTTAAATGAAATGTTAATTTAATTCCAATTTCACTTAACTGGGTTCTACTTCATACCAGATGGGGGAAATAATTAAAAGTAATGACAATGTCACTTGGAAATGCTTTACTTAAGTTTCATGTGCATTATTAATTATTGTAGCAAACGGTATAAATAGTTTGAAAACTCCATACTGCTGAAAGTACCAAACCTTTCTGTACCACAAAGAACCACCTAATATTCTATGTTCTAGCCAGAATATTATTAACCTTTTCAGGTTAAACTATCATAGAAGCATAGGACAGAATATACGTAAAGAAAAAAATGAATAGCTTGAAGAATGTAGACGATCAAATTACCAAGTAAAGAGTTAAAAGTCGATATAATTAAGTACCTTGCAATTTCTTTATTCACTTTGGTTCTCATTTCATCCTCTTCAACTACACTTCCCCAGTCTGTACATCTTGAACGAGGTTTGGGACCTTCTGGTGTTGTAAAACTGCAAAAAAATTCAATGAAAAAAGTAAACTGCCAAAATTCATACATTTAGATGATTATCTCCAGTTTACTTTTTAAGATTAGTTCAGCAAAATGCAAATGTACAGTTCAGATAAAATAACGAATTTTGAAATTTAGTGACAATTTGTGAGTTTACATATAGATAATTGATAGCGTGAACAGGCTTCAATACATTGTTAGTAAGGAACCATGAAAGAGAAGGTGGTATAAAGGAGGGCATGAATCCTTTAAAAAGATGGCCTGGCAGAGATCCCACTACTATACATATATCCCAAGGACAAAACAAAAGGGTTCCAAATACATCTAAATTTTATAAAAGCACTTTTAAGGTGGCAAAAAACTGAAAACAAAGGTAGGGAATGGCTAAAGTGTTACACAAATGTCATGAGATAAAAGTGTACTGTAAGAAACAATTATCTTGAATAAATCATTTTCTGATCTTTTTTCAGCGACAAGCTTGGTCATTAATTACAGAATTCAGTTTAGATATCTTTCCATTATATATTGTTAGAGTCATTGTATTATTTTTCTGGTTCTGCTTTCTTCTCTACATTGATTCAAGTCCTATGGTTTTTCTCTGAAGAATTCAGAGAACTAGCCAAGTCTTCCAATTCCCTGACCCACCCCCCACCTTTCTCAATCAGACTGCCCCCTCAAGTACTACCCTCAACTGCAATTAATTTGCCTGTTTCTTTCCCTAAAGCCTTTAAATATGCACAATTATCTTCCATCCTTAAGTCTTTCATTCAATCCTACCATTTCCCCCAAGCTATTTACCTCTTTCCTCATCTTTCCAGCCAAATTCTTCAAAAAAGCTGCTTAAACTCATTGCCTCTACTTCCTTTCCTCCTGTGCCTCAACACTTTGCAATCTGCCTTCCAACCTCATTACTCAACTGAAGCAGCTCTCCAAGTTACCAATGATCTCTTAAGGGACAAATTGTGTTATTTCTCAGCCTACATCTGTCACATTTAATGCTGTCGCCTACATTCCTCACTCTTTTTCTTTAGGTTTTCTTTTTACATTTTCATAAGACCAATTTTCTTTGTACAAGTGGGAGACTCTGTATGTGACACACACAATCAGTTAATATGTTTTGCTGAACTGTTATTTTTCTTATTCTTTATTAAAAAGGGAGGATCTCTGGAGGTAAGAGGAAAAGATATATTTGGAAAATAAGGGATATAGGCCTGACCATGTTACTACCTTACTCAAAGTCCTGGGGCTCCTTATTACCTCTAAGATCAAATGAGGGCCTTTTTAGAATTTAAAGCTCTTTACAACCTGGCTGCTTTTTATCTTTCTTGTCCTTTAACATACTACTTCCCCCTCTACACACTGGTATGGTCAAGCCAAACTGGTGTACTTATCCCTCCATGCCCTTTCTCTTGCCTTCGAACTATCTCCCACACCAGAAAGCTCTACCTTCCTACCCTTTGCCTTCTAAACCTCTGGCTTCCTTTAAAACTCAGCTCCCTCTGAGAAGAGGTCTTTCCTGGTTTCCCCAAGTGCTAGTGCCTTCCCTTCTAAGGGTGCTATCCATTCACTCTGTATTTATCTTGTGGGTATCAATTATGTTTGTTGTCTCCTTGATTAGAATGTAAGCTCTTTGAAGGTAGGGATCAGTGGTTTGTTTTTTCTTTTTATCTTTAGCACTTAGCACATTACTACACACAAAGCAAGGATTTAATAAATGCTTGTGTATTAAAAAATACAAGAAAACACTCCCAGTCTATTCCTTTGCAGAGGTAGGAGACAGAGGTGTTGTACAGGCAATTATTTTCAGACTTTTTCCACCCTGATGTACTGATTGGCTTTGCTGACTTTTTCCCCCTTTTCTTTAAAGACCTATGCAAATGATCTGAGTGTGTGTATGTTTTGCTTCCAAACATTTAGAGACTATTCTGACAGCTATTAATTTTTGCCTAGAGGTGCCATCAAGTTGGGTTGCGATATTGAGGAGCTTCAATTCTTTTGACTAAACAAATGTAGGCAAAGGTAAAGGAAGATGTTAGGTTAGCTGTGGAAAGTTTTTCAGTGCAAAGAAATCTTTAGCATCTTCTGTCTTACCATGAGGCATATCTCTATAAATAAAATTATTTTAAACATCTAATTATCAATAGAAACAGGCATCAATTTCAAATTCTTTAAATTTCCCACAAAATCTCTTGTAACTTTTAAGGCAAGAAAAATTTAATCTATACCTAACATTTATTTCAAATAACAGGTTAATTTTAGGCTAAACTATGATACAGTAGACCTTCTATCTTTTATGTAGTATATAGCCATTCTTTATGTAATTTGGAGGTGACTTTATGTAGAAATAATGTAGAGTTTTCATTTTATAGCATAATTTTTCTATATCAAACTGCAGAAATTTGTAGTTACATTTTATAACACTGGCTAATGACAGAAGATTCCCTATGGGGAAAGGTCAACTTCGATAATTCTTAGGAATACAGCCCAAAGAAAAATGAAGATCATATTTCAGTGCAAAACATTGCAACCATGTTTTGTTTTTGGCAATAAAATATAGTGGATGATGGCGGAGTCAGGGAAATCCAAGTTTGAATCCTGTCCCAGACACAGCTCTGTGACCCTGTGCAGATAACTTCTGAGCCTCAGTCTCCTCATCTGTTATAATGGAGCTAATAATAGCACCTACCCCACATAGTTATAAGGATCAAGTGAGATAAACAAGTACACGGGGCAGCTAGATGGCACGGTGGATAGAGCACCAGCCTAGGATTCAGGAAGACCTGAGTTCAAATCTGGCCTCAGACACTTGAGACTTGCTAGCTGTATGATCCTGGACAAGTCACTTCACCCCACTGCCAAACAAACAAAAAAACCCCAAAACAAAAGATAAACAAGTACTGTTTTAAAGTAAGAAGTTATTACTAATGACTAAAAATACTCTTTTCAGTACTTCTGCCTACAAAAAGGAACAATAAACAGGTTAAAATAGACATTAAAAAGTATTCACTCTTTTAAAGTCTCATTCAAATGAAAAATTATCCTAGTCTATTTCAAACACAAGTCACAACTACCACATTGCTCCATGTAAGGATTACGAAATATTATGGATCGGGGGCAGCTAGGTAGTGCAGTGGATAAAGCACTGGCCCTGAAGTCAGGAGGACCTGAGTTCAAATCCGGCCTCAGACAAAACACGTGACACTAGCTGTGTGACTCTAGGCACTTAACCCCAATTGTCTTAAAAAAAAAATTTTAAAAATATTATGGATCAAATTATTGAGAACTCATTTAGAAAATAATTTAAGATATGGTTAAATAATTTTTGGTCATATAATAAACATAAAAAGAAAAGAAAAAGGTAAATTTAATTATTCAGTCCATTTCTACCAATTTCTACAATGCCTAAAAAATGACCCAACCAGTACAACCCTCTTCTCTACATCAAAAAGAACATAAAAAGTTTGTTTCTGTTAATAATTTCATATAGCCAACTACAATGCCCGACAATTTATTATGACAGTAATACAATTAATACTGTGTTTAACAGTACCCAAAACTTTTTTGTTGAAAGTGAGTTAGCACAAGTTGCAAACAGAGGTAGCTAGGTGGAGGAAGTGGATAGAGCATGGAGTCAGGAAGATTTGAGTCCAAATCTGTTCTCAGACATTTATTTACTTTGCTAGCTAAGTAACCCTGGGAAGTCACTTAATCTCAGTCTGCTCCAGTTTCCTTATCTGTAAAATGGGGATAATAATAGCACCTGCCTTCCAGGATAATTGTGAGGCTCAAATGAAATGAACTATATTTGCAAAGTACTTTGCAAATCTTAAAGCACTAACAAAAGCTAGCTATTATTATTATCAAACAGGTTAACAGCATTTCTGTTTCAAACACATCTTGAAATATCAAGATTCTATGGCTCAATCTTAGAGAAAAAAATGTTCACATCTTCTAAAAAGCTAACAGAAAACCAAACCACAGACATACACCCAAGTCCTAGTTTTATCAACCCATCTTATCATTGTCTCAATGTCTACAGTATATTTTTTGGTTTTTTTCTGTTAGGCAGCGGGGTTAAGTGACCTGCCCAGGGTTACACAGTTAATAAGTGTCAAGTGTCTGAGGCCGGATTTGAACTCAGGTGTTCCTGACTCCAGGGCCAGTGCTCTATCCATTGCGCTACCTAACTGCTCCCAGTATATTCTTTACAGGCAATTCTGGGGTTAGTACTACAAATAAATGAACAAGAAGTTCAATCATTTTAAAACCTGGAGGATTCTGTACCCATTTTCTTAACTATTTTAAATTTCAAAGTGCTCTTTGTCAAAATATACATTAGATAGCAAAATTTATTAAATTAATTAACTAAAACAACCCAGAGATGTTAAGATATTTTTTTCATGCCTAATCAAGTGACTAGACATTTTGCTGCAATCTAAATTTAGGTTTTTTTTTTTTAACAAATTTGTCCAAAATATATATTTTTGGAAATGCTAAAAGGCCCTAATATGTGGCAAGCTTATGGAAAGACCTGTACAGAAGTTGCAGAGAAAGGTAGGCAGAGATGTGATGAAATATGCATTGCTGGCAAGAATACCCACATCAATGACATTACAGATCCAGTGAATATAAAAACACAAGGCATGATATAGTATATTACCTTATTAGGTCAAAGTTACTAATGAATATGACAAAGGCATCAGGGGGCACAGATTCTAAACTATTTTAGAATAGTTATTTTTTGGACCTATGTTCAAATCAGAATGACCCTTACTGGATCCAGTCTCAATAGAGTTCTTACGGGGGCAAATTTGACTTAACTTCTCTGGGTCTCTATATGAACTGGGATCATACACTTTTTTTTTTGGGCTAGGCAATGGGGTCAAGTGACTTGCCCAAGGTCACACAGCTAGTAAGTGTTACGAGTCTGAGGCCACATTTGAACTCAGGTCCTCCAGTGCTCTATCCACTGTGCCACCTAGCTGCCCCTGGGATTATACACTTCTAACCAAGTTTACATCCCAACTCTATACATTCATCATAGTATGCAAATATGTACAAAGGTTCAAACTTCAAGTAGGACTAGATGTGTTCAATTATAGCCCCCAAATCCAGCACCACCTTTTCCCTAAGTACAAAGCAAATAGTCTCAGAAATGGAAAGAGAGTAAGGTTTATTCTGAATATGCCAAGTAAATAAAGCATACAATTTTTTCATAAAATGAAGACCAATTAGTAAAAACAGAAGTATAAAGTTTCTCCTCTTCAAGTTTTTCCAGAGCCTCGATACCTTCTTTTTAGCTATCACTTTCTGCCATACTGTCCTACCATTCTATGTGTACATTTCCCAAAAATGTGCTCAAATAATAAATAATTTTGATCTGGCCGCACAATTGTCACAAAACGACAAAACTCTCATGATCATCAGTCACAACTTGCACAAAGAAATGTCCCCCGACATGGCAAAGTATGTTTCTGCCAAGTATCATACCTCTCAAGCCTGTTGTCTGAATCTCGACATTCATTTTCTTCTGTGTGTTTAGATTGGGTCTCATCTTCAACAAACAGAGACGAATCAACATCTTCTGGTTTTCTGTACCTTCCATCCAATCGTCTTTTGCGTCCAAGAGACCACCGGGATGGAGAAAGTGTGCTATGTATGAGGAAAACAAGTTAGATTTACTTGCTAACCTGCTCTAAATTATGAGGTGCTTTGGAGATTAGATAAAAGTAAAAGTACTAGAGCTGGAGGCAGAAGAAGAAGGTTCTAATCCTAACTCAATGTGACTTTGGATTATAGCCAACTCACTGCTCTGGGTTTCAGTTTCTGTTTCCTTATTCTGAGATAAAGGAAATGAGTGTAGATTAGAGCAGTATCCCTTCCAACACTAAAATTTCTATTTTAGTTGGGCTTTTGGGCTTAATAACTGAATTTGGGGCACACATGCAAGGAAGCACATTCTTTTGATGGAAGCTACTTCTTGGTTTCTAGATGTTCACATATCCCCTTTCAACCCCAGGACCCAGATCTAGTGATAAAGCAACAAGACCATGTGGCTACTTACTAGTAGGAAGAATGAGGTCAGGAGACCTAGGTTCCAGTTATTATTCTAGCTTTGTGTGACCTTGGGCAAACCATTTCTCCTCCCACATTTTTAAATCTGTAAAAAGGCCGAGTACAAAAATCCTTCACCCTTTATGGGTGGGTGGGGGGAAGGGGAAGAGAGAGGGTGTAGTGCAAATGAAGGAAGCTGACTGGCGCAATGGAAAGCACATTTCAGAACGCAGGATTCTAATTCCAGCTCTGCCGATTAATCCAAATTATTCACTTTAGAGATGAGAGAAATACGACTGGAACAATGGAAAACATATTTCCAGAAACACAGGATTCTAATTCCGGCCCTGGCCGATTAATCCGATGTATTAGATTAGAGACGAGGGACGAGGCCTAGAAAAGTGACTCGCCCGAGGTCCCGTTGCTAGTAAGAGAGCCCAGGTCCTCTGAATCCAAACCATTTTTTTCTTTTGGAAGGGGTTGTATTACGAAGAGCACGGCAGTTCCCAACACTCGTTAACAACATTACGAGTTTCTCCCCCCTCCGCATCTCACTCGCTCAGCATGAAGCCTGGTTATTACTGGCAATTGAAGGGCAGCGACAAGAGCGTTTTAAGAACCAGGGTTAGGGTCCCGGCTCTACCCAGACTCCATTGCCCGCCCCTCCCCCCTGCGGGCCTTCATTCCCTCTTCTTCCTAAAGGCAAGAGCACGGGATGAGGGGTCTCCAGTGCACTTATTACCTGGGGCCTCTAGGTAAAATGGGTAGTGTGGACCACAAAGAGCTCCAACTCGGATGTTAGTTCTTACAGGGAGGTGGAGGAAACGGCCAAATTCCTCATCCCAAGAGTACCCAAGTCCCACCCTCGGCCCCTTCCCAGCCTTACGGAGTGGGACTGGGGTCTTTTCCCGCCACCCGCCTCCCGGGGGGGGGGAGGAAGGTGGAACCAGGGCTGCTGCGCAGGCGCAGTACGGCCCAGGCCCGCCGCTAGACCAAACGCTAGACGGCCGAGGCAGGCCGGCGGTCCTCGGCTGACTTACCCAATGTCGCCGCCCCAGCAGCTACTCCCTGGGTTCGTCCCGGCACCGTGAGGACTCCGCTGCCGGCAATCCATTGTAAGGTGTTGCAGAGGCAGCAGCGAGATCTGACGAGAATAGGAGAAGCCGCGTTTGGACGTTGCCTTTACTAAAGTCGAACTGAGGAGACGCTGGAACGACCCCGCACCGGCGCAGACTGATTTCGCGCGCGATCTGCGACTTCATCCAACGGCTTTTTATAAGCTGTCTGCCCCCCCACCCCTCCACCGCCTCTCGCGAGCCTGGGCCGAACCATCGGAGCGTGGACGCGGGGAGGAGGGGAGTAGGGAAAAGGAGGCGCTAAGCTTCGATCCAGGAAAGAGGGCGAGGGAATTTAGAATAAACGTCGGAGCAAAAACACCACGTAAAAAAGGCAGGCCGATGTCTAGGGAGGCAAACGAGCCCCTACAGGTGGGTTTGGGAAAGGCGCAAGCAAAATCTCCCCCTAATTCCGAATTAGTTCGGCCCAGAAGAAGTGCGAGCGGCGGATAAACGCGCCGCAGGCTCTCATTGGCTGCTTCTGCGCGGGCTGGGGGAGGGGTGTTGGCGGGAAATTCTGAAACCGGGAGGGAAGATTAAGGCAGGGAGGTGAAGGGGGCGGGGAAATGGAGCTCATGCTCATTGCTGATTGGGCCGAATCAATCTCAGTCATCTCCGGGCGAGGAAGTGGAGAAAGACGCATCTTTTGAACGGCTGGGTGGGGAGAAGAGACGGAAGAAGAGAATCCAATTCACTTCACCTCAGTTCCATTCCAAGCCCTGTCATCTCTTGACTGTATCTCATTTAGAAATGACCAGATCATAGAATGTTAGAGCTGGACCGGAGCTTACATACCGTTCAGTCTAGTCTCATTTTACCGATGTGGAAGCTCAGGCCCAGAGAGAAATTACTTGTCCAAGGTCACACAGTCAAATTCATGGCAAGAGTGGAATTCTGGCGGCCTGAGCCTCCCTGCCCCCAGCTCAATGCCCTTTTCTCTTGGCTACTTACTGCATTCGGGTTACAGGCATGAAAATACGCCATCTGTGTAAGGGCATCGGTGCCAGCCAGCTGCCACTCACAGCACTGGCCTAGCTCAGACAGGAAGCACCACCACCATCTCAATCAATAATCAATGGGTCGATCCATAAACATCTATTAAGCACCTACTGTGTACCAGACACTGGCACGGAGACGGCATGGTTCAGAACCAGGAAACTGCCATGTTCTTATCAGTAGGAATGACGTTCTTGAAGAGCCTTCACCATCTGCTTTGCTGCCGCACCCCAGGGACCGTGGGACCTTTCCATCTGACCTGCCACTGTAGCCTTCCGTGTGTGTTGTCTCTCCCCACCCCCATCAGAATGTGAGCTCTTCTTAGTAGCTCTGTGACCCTGGCCAAGTCACTTTACCCTGATTGCCTCACCCCCCAAAATAAAAGAAATTTAAGAAATTTTTTTAAAATTTAGAATGCGAGCTCAGTTGGGAGCAGGGACTGTCTTCTGTCTCTATTCGTATGTTGCATATAGCAAGTGCTTACTAAATGCATTGTTCATCTGGAGGGAGAACCAGTAAGGAAGGTGACTTGGATCGCTCACTCTGAAGAGCTCACGATGGCTGTTTTGTGGCCTGCCCGCTCCCAGAGTCAGCGTGGTGACCCAGCAGCCGCGAGAGCGGATGCTTGTCTGAGAGGCCTGGCGTGACTGCCCACCGAGAAGCCGCAGAACTGGAGGGGGCCCGGAGCCCGAGCCGGCCGCTGACCCAGCGCCAGCCTCCTTGAACGCCTCCCGGGACCGCTCGGTCCGCTGTGGAAGCAGCAACGGCTGGGCTGCGGGGAGCTAAAATCTGCCTCGCGGTGACTTGTTCCCAGTGCCCCCAGACCTGCTTGCTCTCTGGGGCCTGTCCGCCCACCATTCCGCCCCCACCTCCATCTTCGCCCAAGCCTCTCCTTCCTTCTCAGGGACCGACATTCGCAGCTGTTTCATTTGGACACCTAAGTTCAAATTCTAGCTTTGCCCTTTGTTCACTAAATGTGGCAAGGCAAGTCAAACGACCGTTCTTGTTTGTTTCCTCATCTGTAAAATGGGGACAAGAAGACGTCCACGCTATACCTCCCAGGCTGGCTGTGAAAACACTGCTATGGAAATCCTTTTTTCATAGAGTTTCACAGAGCCAAATTTAACTTTGCAAACTCCTAGGTCAAAAGCCCTCGTTTTACAGATGAACCCAATCAGTGAGCATTTATTAAGCACCTGTTACCTGCCAGTCACTGTAATAAGCACTGAGGATAGAAAGAAAAGCAAAAAACAAAAACAAGCAAACAAACAAAAAACCCCAACAACCCCCCCCACAAAACCTAACCACCCCCGCCTTCAAGGACCTCACAGGATAATAAGGGAGACAACATGCAAACAACTGTGTACGGAATAATATATACATACATATGCACACATCATGCGTGTGCACATATGTGTATATTAGGAGTTCCCACATACATGTGCCTTTCTCTTTGTAATAAATCAAGTTACTATCCATGTCTTACAGAGTCATGACTTTTGGTTAACAATCTATACTTTTTTATAAGACAGTTTTCACACACACGTACCCCCTTTTCACAAAATCATCTGTGTAAAGAATTTTATTTTATTAAAATGGGTAGTTTTTTAAAATTTTGTAATGGCAAATCTAAAATAAAAATGCAAATAATTTAAGTAATTTATTCATCCATAAATATGTAATGTTTATATCTATAACTTATAAAAATAATCACCGTGGCAATATTTTAATATGATGGAGGGCCTTGTTTTTCTGTGCAAAGCTTCTTAAAATGTGGTGCTATTGGGAATTCTTTTTTCAGACATTCAAAATTGAGATTTTTGTTTTCACAATAGCTACAAAAGGAAACCATGTTTCACACAAATAAAGTAAGTTCTGAATTGTGGTAAAATGTGTATTGCTTTGTTTGATGAAGCAGATAAATCTTTATTCAACTGAAGCCCAAACCATAAAAAATGGTAAGTTCAAATGTTCATTTCAGTGTACCATCACATTGTCTATTAACTGTATTTGCTCTGATGAAGTCAGATCAAATGTGTCACATTTGCTCATGACAGATGGGCTCCTTATTTCTGCATGTTTAGACTTATCTAGGTCTTTAAAATAAAATGAGAATGATTGCACGTATGTAACCTATATCACATTGCTTATCGTCTTAGGGAAGGGAGAGAGGAGGAGGAACAGGAGGAAATTTGGAACCCCCCAATTTTTTTAAAGGAATGTTAAAAATTGTCTTTACATGTAATTAGAAACTATAGAACACTATTTAAAAAATAAAATAAAATGAGGATAGATGAGTCAAATGATGAGCAAATATGTCTTCACTTCTATTTTATGTGTGAAAAATGTAGTTTTTACAATGAAGAACATATCAAAAATGTTATTTTGTGAATTCATTAAGTGGAAGTTTAACTTCTTCATAAATTCAGTCACTTTACCATTCTGGATCAAAGTATAAGTTTGAGGAAGGACCTTGCAATGATTTATTTAGAGCACTAAGTTTTTTTGAAAATTATTCATCAATGCTGAGTGAAGTGAGCAGAAGCAGGAGAACGTTGTACACAATAACAGCCACATTGTGAGATGATTTAACTTAATTGATAAACTTAACCCATCCCAACAATACAAGGATCTAAGATATCTCCAAAGGCCTTGTGATGGAAAATGCTATTCCCATCCAAAGAAAGAACTATGGAATTTGAATGCAGATCGAAGCATACTATTTGCTATTTTTTTTATTCTTCTGTTGAGTTTTGTTTCCTCTTTCTGGTGGTTCCTCCTATTGGTTCTAATTCTTACTTACAACATCACTAATGTGAAAATATGTTTAATAGGAATGTATATGTATAGCCTATACCAGATTGCACGCTGTCTTGGGGGGGAGGTAAGGGGAGAAAAATTTTAAACTCAAAAGCATATGGAAGTGATTGTTGAGAAATCAAAATAAATTAATAATTTTTTTAAAAAAAGAAAATTATTCATCAAATATGCAAGTTTCAGGAGACATTAGGGAATCATATGATTCACCTCCTACCATGGGCAGCACCAATATTTTCCCTGTGTAATGAGGAATATTTTTATACTTAACACTTCTATAAACAACCATATAAGAAGCAAGTGATGTTGGATGTTACAGACGTGGCTTTTGAAAAAGACTCTTTTTGCTTATCAGAAGTGTCTGATTTTCTCTGGGAAAAAATTCTCTGCACGTATGCTCAGTGTTTATGTATTTCTGGTATTTTAAACTGTCTTTAATCAACTTGGATTGTACTCGTTCAGCTGCCCCACTGGATTTCCTCTTTTATCCATTAGGGAAGGATGTTATTTCCCTTGAAAAAAAAAATTACAGACGATGAAACATTTAATGCAATTAAATTAAAATGTCATTGTTGAACATTTCAGAGGAGTACCCATTTTCTCCCCTAAGTATATTCAGTTTTTAAAAGTTGCAAGTTTTCTTTGAAAGCAATTTATACTGTGTTTGCCCAAATGGATGATATTGTTAAATAGAACATGAATATTATGGTCCTTTTAACTTCTGCATGAAGAGTGTTTAACTTTGCCTTGACTCTCCTCACCCATTCTAATGCAGCAAGGACCACGATGACACAGGTCCTCTGTGTCACAGGCTTCTGTGAGCAGCAGTGGCGGATATCCCTGTCTGTCAGGTTGGTCAGTCAGTCAGCAAACATTTAGCAAGTGCCTACTATGTGCTCAGTATTGTACTAAGCAAGCAAACAGGAAAAAAAGTAGACAGTCTCTGCCCTCGAGGATGGGAAGAAAACACACAAAAGGAAGCTGAAAAGAGTGGTGGTGGAAAAGTGAAGGAAAAGAAAAAAAAGGAGGGGAGAAGGTAGGGAAGAGGCAAGGAGCACATGATGGAGAAGTCCCTTGACTCAAATTTGACTTCATTTGTGTAATATACAGATATACACACATATACATATGTATATATGAGTGTATAATATATGTGTACATTATATGATATATATGTATAAATGTATATGTGTGTCCTTATGTATGTGTATATACTTTTATTGCATTCATTGTTAGTAGGAGTGAGTTTATTGAGATGAACTTGCTTTGGTTGATTGTTTCAACTTTGTTTTCATTAAAAAAAATAGATATAGGGGCAGCTAGGTGGCACAGTGGTTAGAATACCACC